CCCCACCCTCAGGGGCCCCGGCCTCACCCGCCGCCGCGGCCGCCCTCGTCCCCAGCCACTGCGGGAGGCTCCGCGAAAGAGCTGCTCTCGGTCCAGTCGGACCCAGGACCCCGGCCCGGCATCTCCCCGGCGCCCCGACGCGAGCTGTGTGCGCGAGAAGCGCTCGCTGCTCTCCCCCGTCAGCACGCGTGCGTCAGGCGGGGGGCTGCGGGGCGAAGAGCGGCGACGCCGGACACTGCCCGAGCCGCTTCGGGAGCGCGAGGCGGGCAGATGCACGACCCCGGGGCGCCGGGTGGGGGAGGGGCGGCGTCCGTCGGCTGATTGGGTCTGCACGGTGGAGGGGATCTTTGTGGAAGAGACGTGTCACGGAAAGCAAAGATACATGCTCCCCAAAACGAAAGGTGCCTGCCACCTCAGTATTCCAGACTCTCAGCAAATTGCATATCTTGAGTGTCAACATACAAGTCAAGCATCAGTATGCAAATCAAGGACCAAAGCACCAGGCGGAGAACCGTTGACGTTGACTGTTATCACCTAGGCAACCAGCTCCGGCCCTTTACATCAACTGCTGATTACCGGCAACTACTTTTGCGCACGCGCAAATCCTTCCCACCAGTCCGTCGTTTCTACAGGACCCGTTTCTGACTTGATTTGGCCCGAGGAACGCTCCGTACTTAGGGGTGTGGCACAACGGGAGACGTAAAAGGAATTTGTGTTGCGATTGGCTCACCCTTCCTATTCCCGGAATTCGATGGGGTTCGCACGCAGGCCAAAGGAAGTGCGGCTGACGTCCTCGCCAACTTGGATAGCGAACATGCCCCGGTATGCGCAGCTGGTCATGGGCCCCGCCGGCAGCGGGAAGGTGAGGAGAGAAAAGTCGCAGTGTTAAGCAGGGAATTCAGGTCTTGAGAGGGACGGCTGTGGGTATGTGTATTGGGGTCCCTGAGATTTTGGGCCAACTCACTTCTGCACTCCGTGCTCCTTTTTCGCTCGGAAGAGTGATGATAACATCTTTTGTTACTGAACTAAAATTTATTTACACAACTACCCTGTGAGATAGGCCTCATTATTCTCATTTTACAGGTAGAGGAAAATGAGATGCAAAAAGAAAGGATTAAGTTTTTGCCCAAGATCGCACGCTAGGGAGTTACGGCCGAAATTTGAGTCAAGTTTTGGCTAATTCTGGCCTTATTTTGTGCCCAGAAGGCTAAGGTGGAGCCCTGTCCTTTACTGTTCTCAGAGATTAGGACATAGACTCTTGGCATTTGAGGTGATACTAGGTGGTACACGGAGCCGACACTAGAGATCATTGGGTGGTATATGGAGAAAGTTGCTCACTTTTCAACTCTCAGTTCTTGACTTTGTAGTGAGGTGATACTTGTTTGATTCTAGTGTATCCTCAACATTTCTTTAATTTCCAAGTCTTTTTCAGAGAGCAAATTTTAGACTCAGGGCTCTTAATGGGAAACTGTTTTTAGTTAGGATTAAAAGCTTAATCATAGCTAGCCGTTTAAAAGTTCCTAGGTGGCACACGCCTGTAATCCCAACTACTCTAGAAGCGAATGCAGGATTGCAAGTTCAAAGCCAGCCTGAACAATTGAACAAGACCTTATTGCAAAACAAAATACAACAAAGCGCCTAGGGAGTTAACTCAGCACTCCTGGGTTTTTTGTTGTTGTTGTTTTTGTTGTTGTTTTGAGGCAGGGTCTCACTATGTAGTTCAGGCTGGGTGTGAACTCTACATGTAGACCCAGGCTGGCCTCACACTCACAAAGAGCCTCCTGCCTCAGCCTTCTGAACGCTGGGACTACAGGCATGCACCACCACTCCCAGCCAAGTACTCCTGGTTTCAGTCCCTAGTACCACACACATGCACAAGCACGCACACACACACACAAAGTCAGTTGGAAAGTTGTGTACAACTTTATGATTACCTTCATATTATGATAAATTAATCATTTATAGTTCTGTATGTAGTAGTGATAGTTTCTTTTGTAAACATACTAAGGAATAATGTTAGAAGCACTCATATACTGTAGAAACAGTGAACGATCAAATCACGGAAGTGTGGGAAAAACGAGTCTGTGGATGTGTTCTGTGGCATCAGTCTTCAACAAACATATTCTGAGCCACTGACATATTGTGGACTCAGGAGACATACATATGACTAAGTGGCCCTTACCTCTGCAGAACCTGTGTCTGAGAAGATAGGTGATTTTTCTGTTAAGATACGGAATGATGCCTAGAGATGGCATCCAAAATAGAATGAGCCGGGTGTGGTGGCGCACACCTGTAATCCCAGCACTCGGGAGGCTGAGGCAGGAGGATCATTGCAAGCTTGAGACCAGCCTGAGCTACAAACTGAGTTCAAGACCAGCCTGAACTGCATAATGAGACCCTGTCTCAAAAAGACAAAAAAAAAAAAGAATGGTTATGTGTAATGGAGAGAAGCATGCTGGAAGTTACTCTGTATTCCAGATTAATTTTTGGACTGATTGTGTTAAAAAGTATCTCTCTATAAATTTTCGATGCTTACTATCAAAAACACTCATTGAGCATGTTCTTTATGTCAAGTGCTGATTTAGCTCTAGCGATTGTATAGTGAACAAAACAAAACTAAATTTTCTATCCTTGTGGAGCTTACATTTAAACATAGTAAATCAATCAGATAGAGGGGCTGGGGATTTAGCTCAGCGGCACAGCGCCTGCCTGGCAAGCGCAAGGTCCTGAGTTCGATTCCCGGTACCAGAAAAAAAAAACCACCAACAACAACAAAAAAATCAGATAGAAATAATTGTCAAGCATTTATTATGTAACAGGTACTGTGCTGGTCCTTGGGCTTACAAAACTGAATGAAACTTAAAGTTCTCATCACAAATTTAAAAAAAAAACAACTGAATGAGAGGGCCAGGGATATATAGCTCAGTGGCACAGCACCTGCCTGGCCAGCATGAGGTCCTGAGTTTGATTCCTGGTACAAAAAAAAAAAAAAAACCAAACTGAATGAGAAGCTGGGCAGGCCTGTAATCTCAGCACTCTGGGAAGCTGAGGCTGGAGCACCCCAAGTTCAAGGGATTAGCAAGAAGACCTTGCCTCAAAAGAAAAAAAAATTTTTTTTCTATAAAGTACTAAGAATGTGGCTCAATACAAAGTCCATGGCTTCCATCCCTCTATTGGAAGAATAAAAGAAAGAAAAAAAAAAGAATGAAGTAACAGCTCTGTCTTTAAATAGAGTGGGACAGAAAAGGAGCCTAGAAATTTAATATGGTGTGGTAAGGAATACTTGAAGAATAAAGCCCTCCCTAAAGCAAAAGTGACAAGCTGATAACCCACCTGCAGGCTTTTATTGACCTTGGTGCTTCCTCTTTGGAATGCTGTTTTCCTAGGTTGACAGGCACATTCCCATGTGCTTAGATACCCACTACTCAGAGACATCACTCTGACCCTCCTACCTAAAGCTTTGTTTGGACCTGCAAGTCCTAGTAGAAATACTATGTGTTAGTTGCTGCACTGTGTAACCAAAAATCTTTCCTTTTTTTTTCTTTTGATGCTAGGGATCAAATCTAGGGCTTTTGCTTCTAAAGCATGAGCCCTACATCTGAGCTACATTTCCAACCCCAGAAATCTTCCCTTTAAATTCCCCTTGTTGCGTGTTAGAGCAGTAAGGAGCCTTAATGATCATAGAAGACATCCCAGTTAAAGTGGAAATTGAAGGGCAGAGAGGAGAAGCAGTTCCCTCAGCTTTTCCTGTGAGTTCAAGGCAGGTCTGGAGCTGCAGGCCAGGCAGTGTCTTGGCCTCATTTTTAGCCAGCCTCTTGGTTATGAAGGCAGAGGTTTGGCTTCAGTGAATACTGCTGCAAGGAACGTGGAGACCCTGTCTAGGGGCACAGAGGATATCACTACAGTGCTTATTCTAACTCCTCATGCCTTGGGACATTACAGAGCACCTACTGCGCCACCATGGTCCAGCACTGCGAAGCCCTCAACCGCTCTGTCCAGGTGGTGAACCTAGATCCAGCAGCAGAACACTTCAACTACCCTGTGATGGCTGGTAAGTGCTGGCAGAGCCTGCCCTTCCTTCAGGAATGGCAAGGGTGGGGAAAGCGGGGAGTGCTGGCTCCTTGGCATAGAGACTGAAACACTACAGAACTATTATACTCGCGTCCCCTGATTCATGGTGAACAGCATGAGGCTGAAAGTCATTCGGTGCCATATTCATGGTGATGTGTGACAGTATCTTTTCTTAGGTTTTGATGAAGGATTTACAGTGAGTGGACTCCTCCCCCACCTCTCTTCCCATCTGCCCCTTTCTTTCTTAGTCCTACTGTAGTACATTGATACTTTTTTTTAAAACGTTGGTGCCAGGAGTCAAACTCAGGACATTGTGCTTGCAGGCAGGTGCTGTGCCACCGAGCTATATCCCCAGCTGTAGTAAATCTATACTAAAGCTAATGTGTTTGCTGCACACAGTAGATACTCAAGCTAGCTTAAGTAAAAAAGAATACGGCTAAGTAGAAACTACTTACATACCAAAGATACAACATTCGGGTCAGTTGTACCTAGATATATAAAGGCCAGGGTCTAGATGAGTTTATGCAGGAGAGGAGTGTGGTTAGAGAAAAGGACCCAAGACTGAGCCTTAAAGTTGTCTCTTCTTCAGAGGTCTGGTAGAGGAGTGGCTTCAGGAAAGAAGGAGGAAAATATACCTTCACAAATGCCAGGAGAGGCCAGGTGGGGCAGGGGCATGCCTGTAGTCCCAGGTCCTCAGGAGGCTGAGACAATATAGTGAGACTGCTTCAAACAAAAAGGGGAATGAAACTGAAGATGCCAAAGAGATTGGAAATAACCTCAAGAGCAAGGAGGGCAAGGAGACCCAAACGAGGAGGGTTGTGCCTTTGCCAGCAGTGGGCTGCTGCTTCCTAGTGATGTTGGTAGTGAGAGAATGAAAAGTTCTCTTTGGTTGACTTCTGGTTTCTGATAATGAGGTGTGGTTCTTATCTCAGAGTAGGCGGGTTCGGGAGAGCAAACTGAAAGAAGAGGAGAGATGTGAAACAGAAGGCTTACTAGAGCCAAAAGCTGCGGTACACGCCCGTAGGCCTACCACTAGGTGGGCTGGAACAGAAGGGTCTCTACCAGCCTGGGAAGATTTACTGAATGAACTCAGAGCCTCTCACAAAACCCAAGAACAAGATTTTATGAGCATCTAGACTCCAAAACACAAAAACTAGTAGGAAGCAAGGCCCACTTTCTGTGTATCTCTGCACTTCTCTCTCCCTGTGGACGAACTTTCTTGCTCTAGGATGTGTGTGGCCAGCTATGGTACCCAAGTTTACATTATTTTCTGGTTGATGTGTTTTCACTGATTGACTAGTGTCCATCATCCTTTAGAAGACCGATTTTATTGTGCCCCCCCCCATTAGGATCGTTATTTATCCTTGGGGGAGGGGTAGGAATAGAATATCAATGTAAATACACCTATGAATGAAGCCCAGTTCCCAATAATAGACATTACAGATTTGGGCAGAAAAGTAAATAAAAATCTAAGGTAGAGCCAGGCATGGGTTGTCCTCTCAGCTAACCTGGAGGCTGAAGCCAGAGGATCACAAATTTGAGTCTAGGCTGGGCAGCTTAGTGAGGCCATGTCTCAAATTTAAAATGGGCTGGAGATGCAGCTCAGTGGTAGAGCACTTCCCTAGCAGCCGTGAGCCCCTGGGTCCAATACCCCGTACCAAAACAAAACAAAACCTAAGGTCTAAATACTGATTTCCAAAAATGTGTAAGAGAACTGTACATGTTCCAGAATTTTTAAGCCCTTCCTGTAGTCAATTTATGTTAATTTTCATCTTTCTACCCCAGAATATATGATTCCCACCTCACTTCCCATCTTATAAAAGGGAAAGTGAGGCTCAAGAGGTTAAGTAGCTTCCCTAGGGTCATCATGTTAAAAGGTAATTTGCATTGTTTTTACCTTTTTTTTGGTACTGGGAATGGAACTCAGGACCTTGTGCTTGCTAGGCAG